CATCTTCCTACATGATAAAAAAATAAGATACGATCTTTTAAGATTCCTTAAAAGACGGAGTATCAAATCAGTAGAAAAAATTATCAAGCTTATTATAAGCTTGGGCTTTAAAAATTTACAAGAAATATATATCCAAAATGTTTGCCATGGAAATGAAAAACCGTTCACCTGAATGTTTATCACCATGCCCCAGATACAACTAAAAAAAATTTACGGTTCTTCCCAGCTGCATAAGTTCAGATCCCAAAAATCTGCTAGGAAGATTTTGAGTTCCATTGTTTCGGAAGAATGAAGAGTCACTGCTAATTATTAATTATAAAAAACGCAGTGGCTCAACAGCCCTAGTGGACCACGGCCTGCAATGCCCTTTTTGTGCTTTCTTGACCTTTGGGCCCCGGAGTGCATCAGCATATGCCCTGGGCAAGTGGCTAGCTTGTCGCAGGATACTCGGTGTTTAGTCCCCAAGCGAGCTGGATACTCATTTTATCGACTGACTTAAGGGATGAAAGGCTGAGTCAACCTAGTTCTGCCCGGGTATCGAACCCCAGACCTGTGGTGCAGCTGCGCGACGCGCTAGCCACAATTATTGATTATATGTTTTATAATATCATGAAAACAGCTTTTCATTATGCTAACCTGTTGACTCAACTTTGACAAAGCAAACTGGTAAAATGCCGTAGCAAAGTAAGCAGAAGTATGTTTCTTTTACATACAGTGCTTCAAAACACAAGGCTCAGATTTCCCAAACTGCTATTCAGCCATGTGAATTTAAGTTTCTCCGCCACCAAGAAAATTCACCGCATCTAGCCTCAAATGATTTCGTTTTTGCTTCAAAAACTAAAGCAGCATTTTCAAGGTTCATTTACAATGACGGTGGTGATTTGAAAGGTGCCACTCAACAATAGTTTGAAGATTGTGTCAAATCATTTGTCTTAATGCTGGAACCTGATGCTTACATATTTCTTTTCTATGTGCACCGAATTCAATGGGAAATCTATAGGAAAAATATTAAAGCACTTTCAGTCGTTCATCTTGAAGTGTGTTAGACTTAAAACTTATTGAACGTCTCTCGTATGTATTAAAGACATGAAATTCAAAGAACTATTGTTTTTATATGTATTTTGAAATACTTTTTAATATACACTCACACTGGAACACCGAAACCTTCACGGAAAGTACCAGTTGTTTTAACAACATGAATTGAAACATACGGAAGTACATATGAAATATCAATATCTAAAATAAAGCTTCTAGTGAGCTTTTCAGGAGGAAAATGTATAGTTAGTCACATAAACCTTTCCCTGTGTCTTTTAACGTCAATTGAAATTTGTCCAGGCATTATCTAGAAATCTCAGCAAGAGTATTCACATAATATATTTCTCGTCTGTAAAATGTTTGTCTTAAAGTTTTATTAAAATATGGTAAATCATGTTTGGGAAAGACATACGAGAAAAGTAAATATATCTAATGTGTTTAGTTAGTTATTTAGGATGCAAAGCATTCAGAACCTAAGTGATTTAAAAGGAATACCTGCTGGATGACTTTTTTAAAAGCTTTATCACATAGTAGTGATTAGAGCTCATTTAATTAGAGCTCATTTAATTAGAGCAGATTAATTAGAGCTCATTAATTAGAGTTGGTTGCTCATTTAATTAGAGCAACCAACTGTTTGGAATATCTTTCCTGTCGAATTTATCACTGAATGGTTAAGCTGTAGGAATATGGCAAAACACATAAGAACGTTCTGCTAAAGGAAATGGATGTTTTCTTGTAGGATTTTCTAAAGAAAACTTGCTCGTATTCACGTTAAACATAAGGAAAGCACAAAAATCCAGCATGCAGCCAGCCCATTCTCTTGAGATCAAACCTCGATTGAACTACCAGTAGTCAGCACTCTTAACCACTCGGCCACTGTTAGGGTTTTATTTATCATTGAGAAGAAAGACGTTCGAGATTTTCCTACTTTTGCAGAAAGTATTGATTGTTTGGCTTTCAATTCATCAAGCTCTCAGCATCAAAACTTTATTTTCATTATCCTTCTCTGATTACCCTGCATCAGCAATGGGTTTATTGCTCTCGCAAGGATTTATACTCTGGCAGTCGTGCACCAAGAGATAAAAACATGAATTTGGCAGTTTAGGGTGATCCGTGGGAGAAGGGGTAAGGCTTGGTACATTCAGCAACGAAGGGCCCACAGACTGACTCGATGTTAATCCCCATTGTGGGTTGTCCTCGTAGTACTGGCTGGTAGCATCATTACGACCAATCAAATCTCTAGATTCATAGGACTGACCCAACATCTCGTGGTCTCTGAGCACTCGAAAGGTTCATTACCTCTGGTTTCCAATCAGTGAGGTGGCAGTAATGAGATAATTTAAAGGTCTCCGCTCTTAGTAGGGAGCCTATCGGCGTTTGGCATAATGTGAACGTATCTAGCATCTCTATCAGGGGTTGTCTTTGACGGATTCCAGCCTTCCACCTAATAAGGAGGCAAAGTGTCAGCTCATGTAGTGCCATTACAGTGGAGCTGGCGGACTACATAAAAATGACTTTTTCTGGGTTATGGAAGGAATGCAACGAAAGAGCCTTTCTGGGAAAGTACAGCAAAGACTGATTGCTAACCCGAAACCAAAGGTGTGTGTTAGACTTCTGTATAAGGATTGTCTGTATGTAATATCGGCTTATTCTCAAGGGTGTTGTCTAAGCAATGTTCCCGCTCATGAAGCGACTAAATTACCAATAGATTTGGTCATTCCTGAGCAAGTACTTAGCCATTAGAACAGAAAGAGAAATAGATCATGAGGTACGTTTTTCCTTTACACAGTAACCCATAGGTGGTGCTTTGCGAGGCTTAGCGATCTATTACAGAACAAAACAGAAAATTTGCACCAGTAAGTTATTAGACCCAAATCTTTTATGTATAACTAGAGATTGAGTGAATTTAATTCCTATTCTCTTGAATGTGGAAAGAAACACAAAAAAAAAATTCTTATATAATAATTGATCGCAGGGCAATCTGCTCTTAACGAATGGTTAGCTACATAGAGTGTAAATTACGTACTAAAAACCAGTTACTAAAGGAAGTTTTGGTAAAGTTAGTATATGTATTCATAAAACATGAAAGGTTTCCATGGTAACTGAAGTTATGAAAGTTTTCTAAGGCAACTTGAATTCTTAAGCTAATTCCACATAACAAACAGCTTTCATCTAACCAATAATTTTAAACATAAATTGCTTATTATAATAATAGTGTATCATATTTTGTTCTTTAAAACGGTAAAATTAATTATTTATTATTTACTTAATAGAAAAAGATATTGATTTCCAATTTACTGCGAAAATGCGAAAGCATTTTGGTTTCATAATGTCCTTTCATTTGCTTATCTCTTTAAGAGAGTTCAATCAATATAGTGCCACTAAAAATATAAAAAAGCATTTTATACATAATATTAGCATATTATACAAAAAGCATATTATACGTAGTTATAATTAATTGTAACAAAGTATCAAGCCATTACTAACAAAATTTCATATTGTGTTAACATGCTGACCGAACGGATCCCCAGTTTGCAAAATGGCTTAAAAATTTATTATAAGGGACTTTTTACATGTTACGAAATTAGGTAGCAGAATTAATCAATAAGTAATTTAGTGAAATTATTTGGTGTGTTGCATTTGTTCTGGTAGAAATGTAGATGCTCTAAAGTAAAGCTAAATAATGGTTTAAAAAATTTTTAAGGGAATCGTGTATGTTAAAACTTCGCCATTATAAATAGTTACCAGTTTGAAAGCGAAAGTTAACCATTTTCAGACGATAGAGTAACGAAATGTTTTGCTTCAATTTTTCTCTTTGCTTCAGTTTACTTTATAGCGTTCATTACAATACTTGCCAACTATCTTTTAAGTAGACAAAAGGAGGAAAGAAAAGTACTGAAATGGCTAAACGTTTCTGGTAGAAACTATATTCAATGAGTTTCTCGTATTTTACTGTAAGTGATGAAAACTGTTAAGCAGGTTTCACACTGTAAGTGATGAAACTTAAGTAAACTGTTGTTTACTTAAGTTATTTTTAAGCAGGTTTGTAATTATTGGCAAAGCATTTGGGCAAAATGCGTTTTTCATTGCAGCCTCTCACCGTTATTGTCAGTTAAAAATTCATGAAAATTGTATCTAGAAAAGCAAAAGATTAAAAGTATCAGAAAAGCAACTTAAAAGACTTAAAACATTTGGTAATGAGTTTCAGGCTTAGTAGCAATCATCTCTTAATTTTATGTTTAATTTATAATCAAAATGCATCATAAATTCTGATTATATAGTTACTTGCTTCGACACTGCAGTTATAATTCTATAATTCTAAGTTTATCAGTATTAATGTACCACTCTCATTAAATCAAGAGAATAAATCTGACATTTGCTGAAGAGCAGAATAGGTTTTTAGGTAAGATCTATCGTAGAATATGGATAAAGGCGACTAAAGGTTCATTAAAGATTAAACTTTGTAGAACTACCTGAGTATTTTTCTAAACTCATTAAATAATTACCACCTTGTAACGTATACTTTTTTCTGAATAATATGATATCTGAGAAATGAAGACTAATATCAACAAAACGGTAAGAAATTCTAAACTGAACCACCTGAAATGGCAAAGAAAGGTGTTTGTTGTGGACAATGCTTCTTGTGTTGACGTGAAAATGAACTCGCTTAGCTCATCTAAGGAATATGTTTTGTCTCCTACATATTGTAATTCTCAAAAACACCTTGACGAAGAAAGTGAGCTTAACCATAACAGTGCTAATAATCCAGAAGAATTTCAGTTTCGGGAAAATGTTGAGAATTCAAATGTGAAAGCAAATATTGTGAATTTCATGACTAACCGAACTAACAAAAAGCTCACTTTTAAAGCTGTTGCAAGAACATTTTGTAAAAGATCCTCTATTTATGCTTTGAATCAAATTGCCAACTCCAAGACAACTAAGCGTAAATTATTTATAGCATTATAATGATAGGAGGGCTTTTGGGCTGTTCTTCACAAATATTTCGCTACTTATCTTTATACTACTCATACCCAGTAGTAGTCAACATCAATTCAGTAAATGGATACAGTATGGAATTTCCTGCAGTCACTATATGCAATTTTAACGCTGTCCGAAAAGCTTTTGTTCCTTGCTTGATTGAACAACTTAGTTATGAGGATTGTAATGAAACCATATTTACCAATAAATCAGAAATAGAATTTTGGACCAATATCAAGCTATCGAGTTGTTTGGATAACCTTATTGAGATAGCGAATCCAGCAATCTTTAAACAATTGAAGTTTGTTACTGTATATTCTAAACTAAACGCCACCACTCGTAAATATTACGGACATCAACAGGAAACATTTATCAAGTCATGTTACTTCGATGGAATAGCATGCTCCCATTCTGATTTCACTTCGCAACAAAACTCTATATTTGGAAATTGTTACACATTTAATAAAGGAATAGAAAGGGAACCTGTGCTAAGAATTTTTGATGTAGGACCACAACATGGATTGGATTTAGAATTAGATTTAGAAACCAGTGAATACTTATGGATGACAGAAAATGTTGGAGCACAAGTTGTTATTCACAATCCATTCAGTGAACCAGACCCGCAAATAGAAGGATTCAGTGTCAGCCCTGGATTTGAAACAGCTATACGTCTTTCGAAGATATCTTTTCGAAGATTACCGTACCCATACAAAGATCAATGCATACATTACAAACCAGGAAATGATCAGTGGAAGTGCAGCATAGATTGCACTAGAAAAGTAATTTACTCTATTTGTTCATGCGATATACCATTCTATGGAAATGCAGACGATGTCAGATATTGTGATTTAAATAACGACACAGAAGTTTGCTGCATGGTTCTAAATTCAACTGTAACGCTTCGTGACTGTAAGTGTCCATTAGCTTGTGAAAATTCACGTTATGAAATGAAGGTCTCGAACACTTTATGGCCTTCCAGAGCTTCCAAAAAAGCAAGACTCAAGGAAAGAACAACTGAATCAGTAAATGAGCTACAGGAATCGATATCAGTCGAAGAATTTCGGGAAACTAGGCTTAGAGTGAATATTTATTTTGATACACTAGAGCATTTAATATATCAACAAAGCCCGATGTTTGAAGATTCAGAGGTCTTAAGTCAAATTGGAGGTCAAATGGGGTTGTGGCTCGGTATCTCTTTAGTTGCCCTAATCGAATGCTTAGAAAATTGCTTTGCTGTATGGAAATTTCGCAGTAAAAAGCAAATTTTACTCTTTATTTGTTTTTAAATTTTAAGAATGAAATTTATTATTCTTACAGTTTTCGTTATTACACAAAGCTTGCAGATGTTATAGCTTATTGCTTTGTGTGAATTTCAGCGAGTTATAAGTATTACCGTATTTTATGACTTTTTAAATAGAAATAACTCAGAGTTTATTTTTAATACTTTTTAGGTACTTTGGTAAATTTTCCATTTTAAAAATCTGTCGTTTGAAAATAATATCGTTAAATCAGATGTATTTTTAATTTTGAATTAAAATGTTTGGAAATTTGAGTCATTTTCAAAGGAAAATTTTTCATGTAGGATTTGGCTTTCTTTTTCCTCCTTATAGTTTTACTACATTTTACACTTGTAGAAAAACTATCGCTAAACTTTTAATTTTCAATATTGACCTACTACCCAGAGTAAATTGCTCTCTTCCCTTCTTGCTATTCCTCTCAACAGAAAAGCGTTTCATCTTCGTAATCAAAAGCTGTATTCTTTAAGAACCAAGAAATTAGCGAAGTAGAAAGCAGTTTCGTTTAGAGAATCGAAGGAAAGACATTCAAAAAACACTCATCTGTCGTGAAAGTCCTGTAAAAATATCAAAAGCGGACTAAGTTAATAACTCTCTCGGGATAAGTATTTCATCTAACTTGCTTCAGTTTAAATGCCGCTAGAGGCCTAAGGCAATATAACATTAAGGCTGCAAATAAAGGTCTACTTTAGCATAGAAACTAGCCCATAGGACTGTCAAAGATTTAAAATTCCGAGATGAAGTGAAAATATTGTACTTTTTTGCAACTTTCAGTGACAAAAGTTTTGTTTTGCGTATGGATTAGAACTGTAACAATTAATAACCTTAGCACAACTTTACAAATTACTGTATTAACTTTTATATTTCTTCTGTCGCGTTATCCTTTCAACCTTTTCAAGATATGATTTAAAAATTTATGGAATCTTTCCATTATGCTACCAACCACGTTTTCCTCAAGAAAAATATGTGCACCAATATGGCATTTACAGCGAGAAGACCTGGTTCTAAAAGTGGATTGTTTTTCAGACAATGTTTCTCTTCAAAATCTGCAAGCTTGAGATAGTAATGTTTATCTTATGCAGTTAGGACACTAACTATGTACTGGAATTTATTATTTACATTCGATCTTCTAATACTAAAAAAGAAACGAGTCGACATAGTATGATACCGCTTTGGAAAATAAGTCTGCTATATTCAGGGATAATTGAAATACCGTTTCGGATTTATTTTTATAGTTGCAAGCTGTAGGAAACTATTTTCTAACATTGACTTACAAAATTATATGCAAAAATGACTTCTAGAATTATATCCCGAAATTACATGCGGAAAATGGAAGAGAGCTTGAAAACGTCAGAAGTTCTCAAATACTTTGATATTTTTTTAATGATGAATTTGGAAGACAGAAGGCTGATTTAGTTTCCCTCAGTTTATTTATAGATTAGATCTCTAAGAATTAACCCTCAAAGTTTAAGAATTGAAGCAATTTGATTGCTAGTGATATTAATTCGGTTCATAATATTGAAGACTTTGGCATTGATTGAAGACTTCGACAAGACTTTGGCATTGATTGAAGACTTCGACAAAACGTTGAGCTGTGTTGAATACCTTAGAGACGAAATTAACTGGTAAACCTTTTTCCATTTTCTTGATCTTAGCTAAATTAATTCTCTTGTTCTTTATAAAGGAACACAGAAAAGAAATTTCTGACCTCAGATTTCATGATAAAGTTAACTCGAGAAATATTATATATATGTGTGTGTAGTACCTGTTCATTTGACTTGCATTTATAAATTTCTTTCATTTCATTTGCATCTTCTTTTTTATTTAATTTTTCATATACTTTTATTGTAAGTTTTAGTTTAAACATTGTTCTGTATGTATTACTGTATTTATTTTTGAAAATAATAATTGATTCGAGTTTATTCGAGCGATGGGAACCATTTCACATTTCTGAACTTGTTTAAGATTTAAATTCGGATTTTGTAAAATTGAATAGATGTTTTCAACTGGAACAGGGTTTTGTTCAGAAATACAAAATAACGAAACGCCCTGCTCATAAATTGTTGATGGTTTTATGGAGTTCCAGTTCATCTTGAAAAGTTGAGATTTTTCTATAGAATCAATAATAATTATCTTGATTTATTCTTTTGCTTTGCATTTTAATTAACATTTCCAGTTTAATTATTTACAAATTCAACTTATTAATTTCCACAATATTCAAAATTTACTATCTAAATTATACTTCACATTTCCTAGGCGATGAGTTTTCCTTTATATTCTTTCTCTCTCTATATATATATATGTGATATTTTGGCAGTCGTGTAGCTCGGCATCAATGTTTAGGCATGGCGTTTTGCAGAGTGGTAAGGAGGATATCCAAAGACGACACAAATTGATTTAGCTTTTAATAGCCCAATTTTATTTAGTCCAATTAGTAGATCATTTTCCTTTTAGATGGCACTCTTTAAATTACATATCCATAGTGGTTTTAACTAAGTATGATTGAATTTACACTTTATGCATCATAACTAATTCTGAGAAAGGAAGAAAAGATGGACAGGGCAGCGGAGAGTCTTGTAGAATGGCGCGTACTCAGTATTTATAGTAGCGGTTATGTAATAAGTTAGCAAATTCTAGAAGGTATTGGTCTATGGGGGAAGATCCTGAATTGCAGAAAGTTAATTAGAGGTTGCATGTTCGCGTAGAGCAAAGCCATCGTATTTTTTTATATTCTACATTCCCCCGCCCCACCTCAAAAAACAAGAGGCCGGGTGAACAAAGCATTAGTAGATTAGTGAAGCAAAAAGTACGAGGGAAAACATGAAGAAACATCCAGGACATAGCTTACAGGCTTTAACTATGTCACAGCATAAACCATGATCTTTTCTCATATAATTATAAAGTTTTTGAATTATGCAATTTTACAATGATTTATAAATAAACATATAACTAAATTTTATATGGAAGAATAATAATAAATAAATTAAAAGTATAAAAGTCCTGAATTTTTCTCAAAATGTCCATTAAACAGTCCTTTCATAAAAGTAGTTGAAATCGAATGAAATACTTTTTTAAAGTCTCCTGATGCGAGTAAGTCTAGCTTATTTTCATCTAGTGGACTAATAAGTTCACAAATATTGTGCACTTTATGATTCAATAATTGAATAATTGAATTCAATTATTGAATTTATGATTCAATAATTGAATATTTATGATTCAATAATTCAAGAAGGGTATAAATAAGATGGGGAAGATCTTGAATTGCAAAAAGTTAATTAATGGTTTCGTGTTCGCGTAGAGCAAAAGCCATCGTACTTTTTTTTATATTTTACATATATATATATATGTGTGTGTGTGTGTGTGTGTGTGTTTGTGTGTGTGTGTGTTTGTGTGTGTGTATGTCTTCAATAAGATGATTTGGTGAAAGCTGCAACGGATGGTTCTCCGCGTTATAACTCGCCAAGACTTTACTGAGCAGTTAGAAAGACGACATTCGAAGACAGACGTAGCCGTGAATTCCACACATAATTTTATTCCTGGATGATTAATTCTGAGGACTCATATTCTTTTTCATTTCACATCATTATTGTGGATGCACTAGAGCCCCACAGTTTTATATAGATCTTATTTTTAGAACAATGGACAATAGCTAGCACAGGCTAAGCGAAAGAAAGGTTTACGCTCTTAAAATTTTGAGTTTATGTTACGAAGTAGCTACGTCATCAGCGTTACACAAGCCATGCGAGATAGACTGATCTAGAAATGAGACAGTCTAGAAACGTTATTGCGAATTTTAGAAGAGAGTGGGAATTAAGGACTATTGCTAATTTAAACTATAATTCTGACTTACATATTTTTTTATCTTACAAATATATACATGTTTATGTAAATATGTATAAAGATTGTAAATCTTTTTTCACCAGAGATATAAAAAAGGTATATAAGGTATTTCTCTCGCCTTCCTAGCGTGCCTTCGTGGTGTAGTGGTTCTGCCACGCTGACCCGGTATTATTATTCTCAGTCTTGTCCAGCTATGAAACCAGATTTGCATTACATCTATTGACTTCTGACTTGCTTTTATCTATCGAGTTACGGCTAAAATAGAGATACTGCTCGAAAGAGAACAGAGAACGATTCTTCTGTACCTCCTTTGAGAAGATGCTCCTTTTATCTATAGGGCTGCGGCTAAAATAGAGATATTGCTCGAAAGAGAACAGAGAACGATTCCTCTGTACCTCCTTTGAGCAGATGCTCCTTTTATCTATAGGGCTGCGGCTAAAATAGAGATACTGCTCGAAAGAGAACAGAGAACGATTCCTCTATACCTACTTTGAGAAGCTGCTCCTTTTCCATCTGCAACTTCCTGTATAAAATTTATATCGGAGAGCTCCGGTTTCGTCTAATGATGTACACCGTTAGCGCGAGAAAAGACAGTTTACGACAACAGAAGACTTTGATCTACTGCTGGATTGCGCCCTTTACCATTCTCAACGCGCTACTTCCACACACACATACCTTTACGAAAACTGCGTAATATAATTGTGCCAACTATTTTTGAATTAAACTGGGAAATAAACATACCAGTGAAAATTTTAAATCAGTCAAAACTGCTACTTTAAATTTGGCATAGATTTAGAATAAATTTACTCCAAAATAAGGGAGCTGTTTTGCCTAATTTTCTCATCTTTAATACATATATATATATGTATATAATATATATACATAATATTCTCATCACATGTTCAGAATGTTATTAATTTTCAACGGTCCATTAGTCCATTTTCAGCAGTCCAGTGTTATACATATAAATGGTTTCGTTACTGTAGATTTCTTACGAAATACCTTACAAAACAGAAATACATTCAGTATTCCTTTATAAACAGAATGTGAAAAGTAGTCAAATACTCACTTAATATAAATGAATACCCTTATCAGGTTCTGTGTTCCTCCTTACTTGCTTTGGGAACATTAAATGACCTGACTCGGAACAGGGAGCTTACTAGCTATGTCAATAAATGTGGGAAGCAGACAATACACACAAGAGGGTATACGAAACCCTTTATTTTTCTCTCTT